CAGGAACGCACAGGAACGGAGTTCCGGCTGGCTCCCAAGTTGGCCACGCCCAGCAGGAACTCATTAGCATAATAGGCCTTCTCAATTTGATCTGTTTTTTTTGACAGTCTCATTCATTTGAGATTGTTGTGCATCTATTTTCCGATTTATTGCCATCACCTGTTCCAGCAGAGGGTGCAGTTCTTCATTTAGCATCCTTTGCAGGTCTGAAGTTGTGTCCTGTCTGGGCACAACACTCGCTGGACTGGCACTTCTGGCAGGTTTAGCTTTCGCTATATTTCCTTTTTCCTCTTTCCTCGTTGGAGGCGCCATATTTGAGGATTTGTTTACTTTCCGCCAAAAGTTATCACAATTTCTAAAGTTCTCCAATAAGCTTGGTAAGGTCTTAAAAGTCCTTTATTTCTGTCTTTTTCGCTTCACGAGCCCCCCCCCCCCCCCCCCCCCCCCCCCGCTTAAACAGTACATTTTGCATATGTTTGTCTTATTAGGGGAGAGTCCCCTCCCCCCTTGCTTTCTGCGGGGTGGGTTTTGGCTTTTTTTGATGTTCTTGCTTAAACTAGACTCACAGTTCAATGGCAACACGATTCTCGATTAGCTTAAAATGCTGATCGCTTGATCACCCGGCGCTTGATCCGGTGTATGCTTCTAGTTCCATCAGGAAGCTCCATAGCAGGACTGTCGGGGCGAATGCCCCCCCACCGGCAGAGTCGCCGTAGGGGAAGCCTTCTAGTGCCTCATGGCCTGGAGCCCACCACAAGGGCTCTGCAGGGGATGCGGACAATCGCACCCCCTCCTTGCCACGGGCTCTGGCGGTTGCCTCCCTGAGGTCTGGGAGGAGACAGCCACCATGGCGAGCGTCGAAACCGGAAGCTCGACCAATGTTCAGAGCAGGAAATGGGTAAGAGCCTATTGTGGGTGAAATGGGGATGCCCTCCTAAGACAAAGGAAATCTCGCAATGTTAAAGAGGGTCATGCATTAGCATGAGAAAATATTTTAATAAATGAAATAGAAAATTAAAAAAATGGAGAAAATATTATTGCAAGATAATGCGGTATGGCGTACTACTTAAAATGTACACTTGGAAATAAATGTATGCATGTAATGGATGAACTGACAGGCCTCTCATGTAATGAATTATTACAATCATAAATATTCTGAGTTTTTTCTAACCCACTGCTAATGGAGCAAGTTTATGTATGTTTATACCTTTCCTCTTCAGCCCCCGAAAAGCTGCTCCTGAGAATTGGGAGGGGCACATGAATTGGGGAGCTACAGAATGAAGGGCAAGAACATCAGCAGTAACACAGTGGGGCTATTTGTGCTGATTTCCCTTTGTTACAGTCCTCCTCCATCACCCCAAGCCTTCCAGATAGTTTTACATATAGTTTTACAGCAGGCATAGAGCTTTGCAGTGAGAAGGGTAAGGAAGATTCTGAAGAGTATGTATGGGATGTAAATATTAGGAGTAGCTCAGTTCAGTGGGCTGGATCCAGCACTGTGAATTTGTGTTTCCTGACACCAGATTCTTTACAGAGCTACAATGCACAGTGCACAGTATTTTTACAATGCTGCTATTTTATGCATCACTGGGCTTGAAGATACTATATATGATAGGGTTGCCAAATTTTTTTCACTTACCGGCGGGGGTCCTTCCTGCCGGTCCGGGAGCTCTGTGCGGACGCGCACGTCACACGCTGGGCAGGGCCACGCCGTTTGAGGGGAAAACAAAGAGTTTCCCCCTCAAATGGCTGCCATTTGAGGGGAAAACTCTTTGTTTTCCCCTCAAACGGCGTGGCCCCGCCCCCAGCGTGCGACGTCACTTCTGGGTGACACGCACGCGGGGGTGGGGTTTCCCCCGGGCCCCGATTCCGGCGCGCCGGGAATCGGGGCTCCGAAGCGGGGGAATCCCCGCCCCCCGGCTGCATTTGGCAGCCCTAATATATGAACTGATACATTTAAATTTGAAGATACTGTCTGCAACTAATTTTTTTTGTGTATGTATCTTTGGGGTATTTTCACTATGTCCACTGTGACTGTAATTTTATATAGTTAAGTTCTTGAGAATGATATTCTGATTCCCTCAGTGATTTCTAGTTCAGGTGCAATAATTTCTAAATAATACTTGTTTAAAAGTAAAAACAGTAGGTTGCTCTTCAGGTGGTTCATCCTAAATCCATGTGCTGTAAAAAGTTGGTTGCTACCACTTGAGGTCTTTTAAAAATAATGCAAAAAAAGAGAAAATAAACAGATTAGGATAAACCAAAGAGAGAGAGAAATGTGTTTATAAAAGCTTGTTAAAAAGCCAAACTAAAAAAGGAATGATGAAGAGAAAGTGATCAAGAGCAGATGTGCAAGAACAATGAATGAATGAAACAACAGACAGTACCAAGGAGACAGCTGTAACTCCACAAAACACACGCATGTGCTCAGAGCCTAATACAAAGTTCTCCTGCCTGCTTGTTTGGCCATTTTTAAGTATTTAAAGTATATCTAGCTCACTTGTGTCCTGTAATTCTTTTGAGTGAGAAGGAGAATTAAGAGATGAGAAATGGAGAGTCTACATGTGGCACAGGGGTCATTTCGTAGAAAAAGAGGTGCAGGAGCTCGTTAGCATAACTCATTTGCATATGCCACACCCCCTGACATCACCGGAAGTGTGTCAGAAGGCAACACCCACCGCTCGGGCTCCACTGGACTGTTCTGGATTGCTAGCTGTTTGGGGGGGACGGGGGACGTGCAGATTTGTCCTCGCAGAGGAGGGAGAGCTTGTACCTGAAGGTGGGGGGGGGGCTCTGCAACTTACCTGGCTGCTTCTTGCTCCTCCTGGCCCAACTGAGGGCTGCTGGGAGCAGGGGGTGGGGCTTGTTGCATGTGCCCACCCCCTGAGCTCCTTACTGCCGGAGCTCCGCTCCTGTGCGCTCCCATAGGAAATGACCCCCTGGGCACAGTTAAATCTCAGAAATGCTGGTGGGAGAGGTGGATGGTTTATGAAGATAGATTGGAGACAGAGAAGCAGTAGTGGAAGAGACAACATGAAATAAATCCACTTGAGTTTGCTTTGTATAATACTTAAGGAAAGTAAGAAGCCAAGCCATTGTCAGTAATGAGAGATGAGAATGTGAGAGGATTAAAGACAGAATCAGACATTTCATAATTGCATAAGAACATAAGAGGAGCCAATATTGGATCAGGCCAACGGCCCATCCAGTCCAACACTCTGTCACACAGTGGCCAAAAATACCAGGTGCCATCAGGAGGTCCAGCAGTGGGGCCAGGTCACTAGAAGCCCTCCCCCTGTTGCCCCCCCAAGCACCATTGAGCATATTAGTTTAGCAATTATTTTATGAAAGGCCCAAGTGGGGAGTGATGTCGAGATAGTCAATATGGAGAATCAACAAGCCACAAATGGTATCACTTGTACTTAAATTCACTTGGTGTACTCCAGTCTTTAATAAGTTGCAGCAAGAGTGAGTATTTTGTGAATCACATTGTTGTGGTCTGAATCCTATGGTTTGAATCCTAAGCAGCGTGAACAGAGTCATGCTAGAATTAAAGAATTTCCCCACCACAGCCTCTGACAGCAGCTCTGAAATTATGTTGGTCAGTGGATCCAAAGGAATACTGTAGGACCATAGTGGGAGTCTGCAGCAGGAACAGAGAATTGACAAAAATCACCTTCCCTCCCCCCAAAAGGAAAAGCCATTCTGTTAAAAAAATTGTCGCTGCACCAATGAAACAGCATCATAGGATCTAAGCCCGTAGCTCCTGCTTTCCTGTGATTGGTTCTTCTGTTCCGTCAGAAACCTTAGAAGTTCCTGATCATGTAATTTTCTTGGATCACTTATGTAGTTTGTATACAGATGCCATATCTCCCTTGGGACCACTGGTACTGGCTGCCAAAGAACCAAGCTGCCTAATAATTACGATAACTGGTTTATGTTCCTGCATTTTTCTGTTTGCCTTACGTTGGTTAATAAAAATGTGGGCTAAGGTCTTGGAAACTAAAACGACTATACAGAAAGCTTCATAGTTTACAGTTTTGATGGAACATAGCATAAGAGAGGTAAGGAAAAATCCTCTTGAACAGACATCTCTGACTCATCAGTAAAACTCAAAGTTCTTGAGAACCTCAACCATATTAGGGAAAGCTTGAAGACAGCCATTAGTTACAGGATGGAACACCCTGCTTCCAAGGTGTTTGTTTATCATGGCATACATATTTAATAGAACTTTTAGATGACTTGGCAACAAGCATACACATACCCAGAGTTTCAGTTTGGCTACATACAGGGGTCATTTCCTGCAGGAGCGCACAGGAGCGGAGTGCCAGTAGTAAAGAGCCCAGGGGGCGGGCACATGCAACAAGCCCCATCCCTGTTCCCAGCAGCCCTCAGTAAGAGCAAGAAGCAGCCAGGTAAGCTGCAGAGCCCCAAAACAGTCCAGTGGCACCTTTAAAACCAGGTTTTATTCAGGTACAAGCTCTCCCTCCTCTGCGAGGACAGATCTGCACATTCCACCCCCCCCAATACCTAGCAATCCAAAACAGTCCAGTGGAGCCTGAGTGGTGGGTGTTGCCTTCTGACATACTTCCGGTTGATGTCAGGGGGTGTGGCATATGCAAATAAGTTATGCTAATGAGTTATGCTAATAAGCTCTTGCACCTCTTTTCTACCAAATTACCCCTGGCTACATAGAATGTATCTCTGTCATACAAAACCACAGGCTACTAGTGCCTAAACAGAGAGGGTGTGAATCAACCATCACAAGGCTCCTTATCAATAGCTTTATCCTCTGCAGGCTCAGAAGCATTAGCTGGATTTACAAACAAAATATCAAGCAGTATTGGTGTTCTATTCAACGCCTCATTGCTCTTTAGTTGATAATTTGTTTGAAAGATACTTTTACTGTACATAGTGATGTTTTGTATAGTTTTTTCCTGGATTTTATTTTATTTTTATAGGAATGAATGTCTTAACTTTTGTCATTTTCTTTTCTTAAGTGCTGGAAAGAAAGATATCAACCAGGCAAAGCAGAGAGGAGCTGATAAGAAGGGGTGTCCTGAAGGAAATAACTGAGCAAGGTGATACAGACTATGTAACTTGAAGTATAAACTGTTGCCCTCCCGCTTAGATTCATACTTGGTTGCCGCAAAAGAGTCACCTGAGAGCACTATAACAAGCACAAAGCAGTCTGCCGTTATTTAGGTTGAGGGGAACCAAACTGTGATGCGTTCTCATGACAGAGCTTCACATGACCATCTTGTGTCTTGATTGTTGGGTTAGATGTGTGGGGAGGGGAGTGTGCCATGCTGCGGTTTGTGCTGCACTGCTGAGGGGAGCTGTGGACGAGGGCATCAGACATACTGTTCCTGGCCTTTGGCACTGAAAAATATTCCTGTGTAAAAACTACCTCTGAGTTCACCTTTTCTTACTGTTTTCTAAGTTTACCTCAGAGGCACTAATCTAACAAATCCACTGTTTAGGTGGATGGGGCAGAAGAGAGGCTTTATTATAAGAATGGAACACCTGGAGCTGGGCTGTTCCCAAAGTATTAAAACATTGGTTTTTAGCTACACACATATACACACATTGAAACTCGCTTCCTCCTCCCCTTAGTGAAAGTTTTCATGTCTTATGATAAACTGTGAAGTCCTACCCTCCTCGTGTGCAGAGGTGTACAAAGGGTCCTGCCATGGCAGGTGTGCCGGAGTCACCAGGCCTCAGTATACCTGGAATGTCAATGGGGTGCTGGTGAGCTGGGCAGATACAAGGAAGAAGAAAGTGTGCTGGATCAGCCTTCTCCTCTCTGCCTTCTCCAATCACCTGTGCTGTCTGTGGCATTCCCGTCAGGACTCACACTGCCACATTCTGGACTAGCTGGAGTTTCCGGGTCATTCTCAAGGGCAGGCTAACGTACAGCGAGTTACAGTAGTCTAGCTTGGAGGTGACCATTGCGTGGATTACAGTAGCTAGGCCAGGGCGTGACAGGACAGAGGCTAATTGCCAAGCTTGGCATAGATGGAAGAACACCAGCCTGGCAATATTCATGACCTGGGCCTCCATAGTTAAGGAGGCATCCAGGACCACTCCCAAACTCCCGATGGATTGCACAACACTAGTGGCACCCCATCAAGAGTGGGAAATCTGTGCCCCAATCCTGAACCCACCTCTGCCACTGAACCTCTGTCTTTATCAGATTCAGTCTCAGTCTACTCTTTTTCAACTGTCCCGCCCCAGCCTCCAAACCTGCAGCCAAATGGTGTGGGGCACATCCAGGCGGCCATCCAGTAGCAGATATAGCTGGGTGTCATCAGCATACTGGTGACACCCCAGCCTGAAACTCCGCAACAGTTGGGGGAGGGAGCACATACAGATGTTAAATAACATCGGGGAGAGGACTGCCCAAGGACTGCCCGAGGTAAGCCATTTCAGGACTCCCACATGGACTCCCACATCGGTGAGACCTTTTCTGTAGTGGCTCTTCACCTATGGAATGTTTTTATCTGAGTTTGCTGCCCCAGTGTCTAATGTTCTAAGACAATGAGCAAAATAAATGTTTACTTTTCCAGAGGAGCAACTGATGGTATTATTTTGTTGGTGTTTCATCCCTTTGGGAAATGGATTTATGTTGAATATATCTCTTCTACAGATTTTTAGGACATTGTACTTTTTGTGTATATTTTTTAATGTTCTAATGATTATTTAGATCTTCAATCATAGTTTTTATATTATTACTTGCCACCCTGAGATGCTGATAGTTGAAGACCAGGATACATATTTTTAAAAATAAATTATTGCCTCATTAATGTTTTACATTTTTGATACGTAAGGCAGGTTGTCATGATCCTGTAAAATCCTGATTTCAGTGTTAAGTGTATTAGAAATCACTGTCCTGTGTATCTTTCTTTTGCCAAATGTAGTTGTAGAACACTTTGTACATGTCATTGAATCATGCTAGTTATTGTTACACATTTTGAAAGCACATTTTAAGAAAAAAGCTACCCCATGTGAGAAGGTCTAAATACATTATTTTGATTTCAGGTGGAGATGTAACTGTAAACTATGAAATCTCCAATGGACACACAATAGTCATTGGTGAGGAAGCCATACAGGAAGAAAACATAAAGACCACCGAAGACAATAGTTCCAACTCAACAAAGCCACCCACTCTAGAAGAGAAAAAAGAGAACAAAAAAGGTACTTAAAATGCATCTTGCATGGATTGGTTTCCCATTAACAAAACCAGAATAGAATCTGACACAAGTACATATTATGAAGTCACCTCTGTCTTTAACAGGAATCTAAATGCAATAGTGTGTGTGGGGGGAGGGATAACAGTAAGAAAAATGATTTCATCTCCAACAGAAATAGGATTTTTAAATAAAACATTTGCCAAACTGTTGCAAGTGTGTATGCTGGAGGATGCAGTGGGTAAGGAATAAGAGAAAACTTTAAATTATTCTGTCTGCTGTGCATGGATTCTGGCAGTGATCCAGAACAAAAATTCTCCATTGTCTTCTGCAGTCAATAACTGTTCCCTTACATGCATGCAAGACTTGACTATTCTGTGATTAGTGATTGGAACCCTGTGCATGCCATCAAGCTGTGACTCCCTGTCTCTGGAAGAAATAAGAAGAGCTGTCGTGGATCAGACTAAACGTACATCTAGTCTAGCATTCTGTTTCCCACAGTGGCCAGCCAAATGCTTCTGGAAAATCTACAAACAAAGCATGAAGACAGTACTCCACCCCCTGCAGTATTTGCCATTAAGGAACTAGGTATGCAGAGGTATAGTACCAGTGGGGTGTTCCATTTCTTTATCATGGCTTATGGGCCTGTTTTCTATGTAGCCTTAGACCAGTATGTATCTATCATATTCTGCATTATTGTAGAATAACTACACATATTTAATAGACTTTGAGGACAAAGGGAAATGGAATTACTGACTTTCTGCTAGAAGAGAAAAATGTTAGCCATTGATCATTGCTGCTTTTAATTATGTACAAACTTATAATAACTGTTTAATTTCTTGAATACCACTTTTGCAAGGTTTTTTTCCAAAAGGAATATACTTCTTTTGCAATTCAGAATTACCTCTAGTAATATTAACAGTTTGATGAAATATAACAACTATGAATGGTGTGTTGTGTCTTAATTTAAAACTGTACTGATGTCTTAAAAGGTTGTGATGCCTCATTTGTTACTTAGTACCCTGTTCTTTACCAGATCTAAAATGATAGTGATCCCAATATTATTTATTCAATTTTTGTAGTCTGGCTCTTGAAAAGAGTATTATTAGCACTACAAGATTTAGTGATGATCAGTGTCTTGGTTTTTTGTTTTTTAAAGGAGCAGACAAAATATAAAAGGATATGTCTATCAGTGACTATTGTCCATGATAGCTAATGGAACTTGGGTTGCATAGATGACGTATACTGCTAAATATCAAATGCTGGGAACAATCAATAGGAGAGGGCCATTGTCTTCATGCTCTTCTTATGGGCTTCCCAGGAGCATTTGGCTGGCCACTGTAAGGGAATGAATGCTGCACAAGATGGAATTATTGGTCTGATGCAGCAATAAAGGGTTTTTTTAAAAAAAGAAAGAAAGAAAAGGTTTTAACAATAGATTTCTAGGGATTGTGACTGTGAGTAGCAGTGTATTAAAGGTAACTAAACAAGTTGCACTTTAATACCCATAACCTGCCATCAGAATTGTTTGTTTTGGGGGAAGGGGGTTATGATTTATTTATGCACATTTATAGGAGACAGCGGACTATTCTGTGATTAGTGATTGGAACCCTGTGCATGCCATCAAGCTGTGACTCCCTGTCTCTGGAAGAAATAAGAAGAGCTGTCGTGGATCAGACTAAACGTACATCTAGTCTAGCATTCTGTTTCCCACAGTGGCCAGCCAAATGCTTCTGGAAAATCTACAAACAAAGCATGAAGACAGTACTCCACCCCCTGCAGTATTTGCCATTAAGGAACTAGGTATGCAGAGGTATAGTACCAGTGGGGTGTTCCATTTCTTTATCATGGCTTATGGGCCTGTTTTCTATGTAGCCTTAGACCAGTATGTATCTATCATATTCTGCATTATTGTAGAATAACTACACATATTTAATAGACTTTGAGGACAAAGGGAAATGGAATTACTGACTTTCTGCTAGAAGAGAAAAATGTTAGCCATTGATCATTGCTGCTTTTAATTATGTACAAACTTATAATAACTGTTTAATTTCTTGAATACCACTTTTGCAAGGTTTTTTTCCAAAAGGAATATACTTCTTTTGCAATTCAGAATTACCTCTAGTAATATTAACAGTTTGATGAAATATAACAACTATGAATGGTGTGTTGTGTCTTAATTTAAAACTGTACTGATGTCTTAAAAGGTTGTGATGCCTCATTTGTTACTTAGTACCCTGTTCTTTACCAGATCTAAAATGGTTCCCCCCCCCGATGATCTGGGCCACGCCCCCAATGTGCCCTACGTCGTGCTTCACTTCCTGTGACGTTCTGGCGGCGTGCACGCCCCTCGGCAGCTCCCGGACAGAAGCAACGCTCCCCCGCCAGTGAGTCATGCCGACTTGGCAACCCTAAGCAGAAGCCTCAAGGCCCCTGCCAGGGACCACACTGAACCATGAAGACATTGGTTGTGAAAGGACCTGCTCTTTCTTCTGCCGGCCTTTTGCCACTCAGAAGAAATTCCTCAATGCTTCTTCTTGGGAAGGGAATGCGTGGGGAACTTCAATCCCATCCCCCATTAGCTAAAGAGAAACCACTTGTAAGCCACTTAGTTCCCTTCAGTTCCATGGCCAAGAGTCAGGACTTGTGCCTTTACTTGCCTTTGTTCTGCTGTCCTGCTACCAGGACTGCATAGCTCAGTGAAATGGCATGCACGCACAGTCCTCTTTCTGTATTTTTGGGGAGCTGCCCCATGGGAAGTTTATATTCTCTGGTGGTTCCCCAAGGTAGGCCAAAACTTCTGTTTTTCTTGGGCTTCATTTGTTCTCATTAGAAGGGTACAGTTTGGAGGCTTGTGAATAAATGCAGCAGGGGGAGGGAGAGAGTGAATTTGGAAACCCACTTTCAAAAATCTTGCCCACGAGGATTCTCTAAACACACGGGAACTGGAACAGACTGTGGTTGTTTGTTTGTTTTTGTCCCCTTTACTTGCCATACAGCTACACTCAACAATCAGTCCCTTCCGAGGCGCATTCAGTCCTCAGACCATTTTCTGTCCTTTTCTTTTGATTACTTTACAAAGTCATCTTTTCCTGCATATCTGGGGAGTCTGCTGAGTAAACAGAGACCCTTACTTTGTTCCTGGATAGCATGGGTTGTGCACAGGGGCCAGCTAGCTCACTATTAGATGAATCCCTAGTTATTTGTGCAGGATCAGAGGTTATTGGCAATTCCAGATTATCAGAATAGAAGTGTGTGTGATGCTGCATATGCAGCATTTTTGAGCTATCTATTGCTGTTCTAGTCTGCTTTTAATCATTATGATATCAATGCAAAGGAGTGCCTTGAAATGCCATTTGAATGAAAGTGTGCCTAGGAAATTAATGGCTGTTTTCTGTAATAATGAAAGTTAAGTACTGTAGTACTGTTTCATTCCATGAGTAATTAACTAGGGGAGTCTACTTCCATAGGATGTAGTGATGGCCACTAACTTGGCTAGCATTAAAAGGGAATTAGATCCATTAATGATCAACAGGACTTTCAAAAGCTTGTTCACAGTAAGAAAACCTTTAATGGAAGTGCTAAAGACAACAGAGGAGTGGCCTTGGCCTCCACTGCCTGGTGATAGACTTTCCAGGGGGCATATGGTTGGTCATTGTGTGAAACAGGATGCTAGACTAAATGGTCTGATCCAGCATGGCTGTTCTATTTTTTCCTCAAATGTGTTTGGTAAGAAAATGAGACCCTTACAATAAGCCTGCCAGAATGAGCCAGAGTTGTCTCTGGCCATATAAAGCTACCATAGCAAACAGAAATATGCATATCTTCTCTAGGAGAGATTCTGCTAGCTACTGGTGAGGTGTATCATTCCTCTGAGACATTAAAGACAGATGAGCTGTGATGTGGTGTACAGATGAATATGGAGAAAAGGGTAGTCCTTTCAGTTACGTTTGCAGCAGTTAGTTTTGTGTGTTCTTTTTGTTTGAGGATTTTAGGGTTCAGGTTTTTAACCTTTTCTCTCTAAATATGGAGAACTAAAACATAAAACTACAGCTGCAATTCTGTACTTAATTATTTGTGTATAATGTGTTGCATGTTATTTTTGTGTACCTGATTCCTTTTCTTGTGTATAAATAGCAATAAAGCAGACAAACCTACAATAATAATGAAATCCTGATTGCTGTAGTGATTAAACAATATGCTAGTACAAACAGCAGTGAATGTGTTAAAAGTGTTTTTAAAACATTGAAATTCTAAATTGTCTTGTATGTGGCTAAACAATGCTAGAAACTTTAAATCCATCTGATATTTGTTATCTTGCGGATTCTTTTTACATTTTGTAACCATTGCTGTTAGTAATAATGATGGTGCGTCAACCATCCAACAGGCATGTTTGAAAAGAAGTTCCTCTCTTGTACCAGTATAATGAAAACCTGCTGACAGGTTTTCATATGCTTGCATTTTGGGTGAATGATTATTATTGAGTATATGCTGAATAAGAGATCTTGCCGTAGATTGCTTATAAATCTGTTGTCAGCTTTGTGAAATGGCATACTTCGTAAAAAACAAAAAAAACCCTCTTATTACCCAGCATGTATTGAGGAACATTGTAAGTATAAATTATTGCCATTCCACATTATGATAGTAAATTTGGGGGCAGGCTATAGCAAAGACTTCATTTTGTCCTGAACAGTTAGCAAAAGAGGCAGCTGAAATAAACTGATTGGTAACCTCAGAGAGGATGAAAGGGAGATCTCTTGATGGTCAAACTGTGAAAAGTTGTGTTTGCATGCCACCTCTACTAACCAGGTATGTCAGGTCTTACATTGCCTAACATGCTCCTTTTCATATGCTAATTGTTACTAATGAGTATGCTGCCTACCTGTTGAGAGTGGGTCAGAGAGATAACAAAGGAGTGAGGATTGGAGGAAATTCAGGTAGGATTTCTTGAGAAGCGTCTCTGATGTCATTATAATCACACCAGCCCCGAGCAGACTGCCCTCCTTTGATGAGGCTAACAATTGTTTGAAAAAGAATTTTACCTCTGTTAAACATTTTGAGAACTCTTCTGGCCCACTTGATGGATGTGGGTCTGGGAGATGTACTGCAAGACGCAGTATCCTATTAAATTTTTAATCCAAGCCTTCTGCAAAGAATCTGTGTCCATGCCCCCCTCTCCATTTTATCCTCATAACAAACTAATGGGTTGAAGATAGTAAACTAGCCCAAGGCCACACACAGTGAGTTTCATGGAAGAGTGTGAATCTGAACCAGAGTCCCAGTCTAATCACCACACAGCCCTGGCTCTCTGTTAGGGATGCCAGGGGTTTGGACAGCTTTCCTGAGAGCTTTAGGGGTGGGGCAGGGGGGGCCTTGTGGAGTTTTGGGGGACAGCCAGAGCATCTCCTGGTGTGCTTGCATCACATCAATGGCTTTGGGTGGATGTGACATCACACATCATTTCTACCTATGGACCTTTCTCCCGCTAGTCTGGCGAGTACGGGTGGGAGGGTGGCATACCAGTGGGAGCCCTCCCACGAGAAGCAGGCAGCTGGTAAGCCTACTTTCTTTAGTTTGGAAGCAATTTTAATAAACTGACGTAAAGCACATTCTCATTCTCAAGAGGTAGAGCAGCACCAAAGCGAGTGTCTCTGTGTTGCCTGGTATCATCTGTTTGTGTCAGTTGCTTTCTGTTCACTTTGTCATTTGTAGAGAAACCTCTTCCCAAAGATCCTGAAACATCAGCACCCCGTGCTCTGCCACCGCCTAAATCTAAGCCTAAAGCTAAAAAAGCAACCATACCTCCAAAAAATGCCGCTGCTGCTGCTACCACTAGCCATAAGACTAATGAAGTGCCACATGCTAAAAAAAAAGGCAAGGTGCCTGCTAAGCAGACCTCTGCCCCACCTCCCAAGCCAACAAGCCGCAATGTGAATCGAGACGCTGGTGAGTAACACGTGTGTCATTCCAAAACGCATGGTATATGGCATTCGCCTTAGGTCGTGTGGCTTTGGACTCATGGTGCTTATTATTTGCATTAAACATTGAAAACACTGAAGGCACATGTCTGAACAGTTACTAACTCTCCATTGGCTTTGTACTCCCACTTCGGAAAATACTACCTAAAGCCAGTTTTCCATCTAATAAATGCCATTTCCTATGCTTCCCAATGCATCCTGATTCATGGATCATGATAATAAGTGTTACAGTCTGATTATCAACAGCAGGCATGGTTCTGAATGAGAATTGGGCTACGTAAAAGAAGACAGATGTCACTTATTTTCTGTGCATGTGATAATATTATGGCTGTTGTGTTTTCTGCTGACTTCATGAGGCATGGATAGGCCGCATATGGCCAATGGAGTACAATCAGAGCATGTTTTTGTGTTTATCAAGCTCTTACTGGAATCCTGAAAAATGCTGGTTAAAATAACGTTCATTTGTTGCCTTTGTAGTCATGGAGGTCCCTTTGAAAACACAACAGCAAAAAACACAAAAGGATCATTTACTTTTGAGAGTTGCACCAAATATATTATAAGAGCAAGAGATGTGATTCCTTTCTGACTTCATAACGTATATCTAATATAACAATATGTGATCTCACCATCTGGATTTAATAATCCAGAAAAAGGGGGCCACCCTGAGCTGTGATATAGGTTTCTGCTGGAAAAATATAAAATATGAATAAAATTTGGGTGTTTTTTTTTAAATGTATTTTCTCTTGCAGAGACATAACAAAAAAAGAATTTGATTGGTGTTTTGGGTTGCCATAGAAACCACAAATGGCATCCAATACCAAAACTGTGGTCCAGATACCAGGGAAGGGGGTGGGGTGGGAAATACAACAGAGCTTTGGAAATATACAGAAGTAGGAATAAGAAAGGGGGCAAGCAACAGGAAGGAATAGGAGAGAAGGAAACTGATCCATTTGTAGACAGGAGGAAAGATAGGGAAGGGCCAAGTGGCAGCAGGTAGACTGGGGTGGGGTGAAGATGGACACAGCAGGAAACGGCTGGTGAAATCAAGCAGAGAAGAACTGAGGAGGGAGGAGGGAATGAGGACACTGTCAGCAAGGGAGAATGGGACTTTCCCATGAGTCCTCACAGGTCTCCCACTTGTCATTTTCAGAGACAGAATATGCCAAAATATATTTTGTGAATACATTACACTTAAGCAAACAACACCTTATTCTGAAATTGTTGGCCTTAACTATGGGAGAATGTGATATATAAAGATGTGCAACCTTGGAAAACATGTGACCTAGGCAATAATACTTGCTTCCTTATTTCCTCTCCCCCAGCATTCAACTTTCAAATACTCTAGGAATAACGAGGGTCATAATCCCTTCATTAAGAGTTCAGGGATCCCAGGTTTTCATTTAATGAATCAGTGAACCTCCGATATATCAAGGTGCCTACACTCTCTTTTAGAGGCGCAGCAATAGCTATCATATATTAGCATTTTGTCTCAGTTTCAGCAGCCTAAAGTAACTGAGGTGCCAGCGGCCTCATGGGAGTGCAGCACTTTGTGCATCAGATTTGAAAGGTATTTTTTAAATTTATTTTTATCTTTCAACAACCAGATTTCTAAAAATAGTGCTGGGAACATTTTTGTTCCCAAACTGTGGGAAATGAAAATCCCCAGCTCTATGCCTGTCTTGTCATACAATCTGTCGATCACATCGTTTCCGATTTCTTAATTGTGGTTAAGCAATTGGGAATTAACTGAGGGATTGCACTTTCTTCTCCCCCCACCCCACCCCAGCCCACCCAACTGGTCTTTAACACAGTTAAGTGGTACATCAGCCCCACTATTAATCTTAAACAGGCGTTGTTAACCAGCTTAAAGTCCTGGAAGCAACAACCTTGGTTATCCTTGACCATGGCTAATATTAGTGTCAATACTGAATACTAATACTAATATTAGTGTCAATACTACCATGGCTAATATTAGTGTCAATACTGAAGGAGGGACGGGGGCAATTCACACTCCAGAGAGGAGTCCCATGATCCAGTATCTTGCTTTCTGTTGTTGTTGTTAGACATTCAGTCGTGTTTGACTCTTGGTTAAGTATCCCTCTCAGAGATATTTATGCCCTTACTACACATAAGGGCTGTGAATGCTGCTTATTTAGCTTCCAGTTTTAGCTTCAGTACAGGAAGTTACATTTGAAAATTAACACTCAGCACTGTTTTAAAAAATGTTTTTGAGATCAAGAAGTATATGTGTTGTCTTGTTTCAGCTAGTTCGTCCCATGTAAAAAAAGTGCAAGCCTCCAAGTCTTCTTCATCTCCTTCATCATCATCATCATCTCGCCCTAAGATCTCTAAGGAGCTATCATCAACCAAAACAGGCAAAGGAACTCCTAGGGATAAGAAAAAGGTTGGAAAACAAGTGACTACGCGAACACCTGCAGATGGGGACATTTCTCCTGCTTCAAAATCAAGAACAGGCAACTCAGAAACAAAGGCAGAAGCCTCTAATCCAGAAGAGACTCCCTGCATTGTTCTTGAAACTGAAGATACAAACCAGCCCAACACAGCTACTGTTCCTCCCCCTCCGCCTGCTGTTCCACCTCCTCTTCCTCCATCCATCCCATCTCCAGGCTCTCAGCCCACTGGTTTTTCAGACATACAACATGTGCCAGTTAGCAGTGAACTAGGCCTGTCTGTTCCTGGCACAAATTCTAATGTTCTTCATATGAAAACTGAAGTAGACAATGAAAGCTACTCGAGTCATGCTGTTTTAGACAATAACCTGGAAACTGGGGGAGAAGACACAGAATGGTAAGGCTATGTGCTGTGTTGGTTCTGATAATTTGGGACACAATACAGTAAGATTTGTGGGAGGGGGAGATAGTTGATGAACTATTATTGTTTTAGTATGAGCATTAACCTAAATCTTTCAAAATAACTTAAGCTGCCTTGACGCTGAGATCTATATCAGACTTCAAAATAACAATTCAAGGCCATACAGATATTTGGTGATACTTTTATTCTATGACCTGAGCATTAATAAGAGCTGAAAACTTTTGTGAAGGTGAAAGTTGAGTGAAGAAAGCATGATAGGGGTCATAGTTCTATTTTAAAACAAGATGTTTGATCTGGTGGCATCCCAAACTACCAAGATTCTCTGAAACTCCCAATTTGCTATTTTTAAAATGTGTACTTCAACTTTCACTCAGATGATCCTCAAAGCAGCTTGCAAACAAAAGATTAAATACAATACAACTGCTTCTTTACCCAGTAGCCCTTAAACTTCTGGACAGTGGCAGAGGCCAGAGTGTCCTTCATATCATGTCTACAGTCCTTGGGCAAGTGGCTGTTGATCTCATCTTTCTGGCAGGGCACGCCTGTTGATCTCATATTTCTAGCAAGGCAGTGGGATCCCAGCAGTTGTTCCTGCTCTGGCCAATGGCTAGGGCCTTTCCTGAAAAAGATGTTCTTTCTGGCAGGAAAGGGGTGCAGCCACCCAGAGACCCTTGGATCTTTAGCCAGTGGTAGTGAACAGAGGGTCTGAGGGCTCTGGATAATGTTACCCCATCCTTAGTGGTTCATTTGAGAGAAGTGGGCAGCAGAATCCAAGAGGCTTACTGAAACAAGCTACAAATCAGCAGGTGATGTAATCATAGGGCAGTGAAAACTCAAAGGGATTTCTTTGATCGGGGGGGGGGGCGTATCCACCATTGCCTCTTACTTCTCTCTACTTTGACATGGGAACAAGATTTTGTATTTTCCCTGTGCTTTATAAGGCTGCTGGGGCTGTGATTTATTGATAGAGCATCTGCTCTCCATGCAAAAGGTACTGAATTCAATACTGGCATTTTGTTTGTTTGTTTACTTATTTATTTCATTTATATCCCGCCCTCCCTGCCAAGGCGGGCTCAGGGTGGCTTACACAAAAATAGTTGACAAATAAAACAAGAGATTAGATAAAATCACAAGAAAAGAATGAAAACTTTACATAAGTGCTAGTATAAGTCATATGATGATGGCGGGCATTGGCCGCATTCGACAGTGCAAATAACCATCTAACAGCACAGTCTGGGACATATCGGCGGAATGCTGGCTGTTGTTGTTGGTATTAGTATTGGGGCCAGGGCCTCAGTATATAAAGTGCTTCTCCCTAATCGAAGGCCTGGTGGAAGAGCTCCATTTTACAGGCCCTGCGGAACTGTAAAAGGTCCCACAGGGCCCTGATGCCTTCCAGGAGCTCATTCCACCAGTATGGAGCCGCCACTGAGAAGGCCTTGGCCCTCGTCGCCTGGCTTCCCTGGTGCCTGGAAGGGCCAAGCAATTTTGGGACCCCAATCATAGTGCTTTCTGGGGAACATGTGGGGAAAGGTGGTCCCTTAGGTATGTAGGCCCCTGACCATAAAGGGCTTTAAAGATAAGAACCAGCACCTTGAACCGAATTCGGTATGCTATGGGCAGCCAGTGCAGTGCCTTGAGTGCAGACTGGATGTGCTCCCACATAGGGAGGTCCAGCAATAGCCTGGCCACCGCATTCTGCACCAGATTTGGGACAAGGGCAGCCCTATGTAGAGAGCATTACAGTAATCCAATCACCAGTTAAAATCAAACAGTGTGAAAGACCTCTGCCTGTGACCCTGGAGTGTTGCTGTCAGTCACAATAGACAGTACTGACCTCGATAGACTAATGGTATGAGTCAGTACAAAGCACCTTCATCTGTTCAAGTGTGAGATATAAAAGTAAGTGTGATCAAGGAAAAGCGAACATTCTTTTTGGGTTTGGCCCGCGGCATTTTTTGATAATCAGAAGTTCAATCTGTATTCTGTGCTCAAAAACCTTTCCATGTTCTACAGACAAAACTTGCATTATTTGTTTGAGTCCGTGGTTGACAACAGAAGGCTAGCCATCTGTTTTTGACTTCTCAGGGATTTCTTCTAGAAAACAAAATTCCCTGGAATGGTTATGTAGAGTTATGTGGATTGGGGGAAAGCCTTGGTGGGCTGGATATGTCTAAAAACATCATGTTGACTGTCCATAATGTAGGTCAATAAAAAGTTATTCCCATGTTGTCACCTTGGATAGGTTCATTCAGTATGCATACTATATATTGGATACAGTATCTGAATGATTGCTTTACTTTTGTACCATGTTATTTAGGTGGGGTGGGGACTAGTATGCTAAATGATGGCATGCAATAAGATATAGGCAAGTGGGTGTTATCAGAATCTATGTTATCAGATTTGCTACTTGTGGGAGGCACAGATGTTTAGCTCTTTTAATGTCACAGCCTTCTGTAGGTTGTATCCATATACTTTAAAGTTCTGTACCAAGTTCTGTGAGAATCATAGAATCACAGAGTTGGAAGGGGCCATACAGGCCATCTAGTCCAACCCCCTGCCCAATGCAGGCTCAGCCTAGAGCATCCCTGGCAAGTGTTTGTCCAGCCGCTGCTTAAAGACTGCTTAAAGACTGCCACCTCCCTAAGCAGCTGATTCCACTGCTGCACAACTCTTACTGCAAAAAAGGTTTTCCTAAGATCCAGCTGGTGCCTTCCCGCCCTTAATTTAAACCCATTATTTTATTTATTTATTTATTCTTCACATTTATACCCCGCCCTCCTAGCCAAGGTCGACTCATTATTATTGCGAGTCCTATTCTCTGCTGCCAACAGGAACAGCTCCCTGCCCTCCTCGAAGTGTTGTTGTTGTTCAGTTGCACAGTCGAGTCTGACTCTTCACAAACCTATGGACAACATCGAGCCAGGCCCTTCTGTCTTCCACCGTCCTCCGGAGTTTGCTCAATTTTATGTTCGTTGCATCGGTAACATTGTCTAACCATCTCATCCTTTGCCGTTCCCTTCTTCTTTTACCTTCAGTCTTTCCCAGCATCAGGGTCTTCTCCAGTGAGTGCTCCCTTCTCATTGGGTGGCCAAAGTATTTAAACTTCAGCTTCAGTATCTGGCCTTCCAGGAAACAGTCAGAGTTGATTTCTTTTGGGATTGACTGATTTGATCTCCTTGCAGTCCAAGGGACTCACAAGAGTCTTCTCCAGCACCATAATTCAAAAGCATCTATTCTTCAGCACTCGGCCTTCCTTATAGTCCAACTCTCGCAGCCATACATTACTACTGGGAATGCCATCACTTTGACTATGTGGACCTTTGTTGGCAGGGTGATGTCTTTACTTTTTATTATGCTGTCTAGGTTTGCCATAGCTTTCCTCCCAAGGAGCAGGTGTCTTTTAATTTCATGGCTGCAGTCACTGTCTGCAGTGATCTTGGATCCCAGGAACGTGAATTCTAAGTGACAGCCCTTCAGATACTTAAAGACAGCAATCATGTCCCCCCTCAACCTCCTCTTCTCCAGTCTAAACATTCCCAAGTTCCTCAGCCTTTCCTCA